ACATGAAACACAATAAACAAATGTTGAGGTTAGCACAGGAAACAGAATGGCGTGTGATTAAGTCACTGTGACAAACACAAATCAGAGCTGGAAGACCCACCTGCTGGTTCCCAGTGTGTCGGTCAGCTACAGCAGCTCCACAGAGAGAGTTGTGTATAAGAGCAGAACTGTGTGTAGACATCGCTCTGTGATTGTAGGAGATGTGAATGTAAACACATCCAACATATACTGACATCACCCAGATGTGCCGATCACCAGCACCCTTCTATGATGTAGCGTATAATGACATGACAACACACAACAACCTTGGGATGGTATTACTTCCTGTGGCTCACTGGTGGAAGTGGAGCGATGTGGATCAGTGTGGATAATTAAAAAATGAAAACAATAAACAGAATGGTGACTGTTAATGTAATATTACCTGAAATCCTGTTGGTAACACATTACATTATATACTACTATACTACAATATACTACTGTGACTGTGCATTACCCCCAACACTTATAATTACTAGGCCTAAGCTAAACTTTTATCTAAAGCTAAAGCCAGCTGCCTGTTAGCTTAGCTTAGCATAAAGACTGAAAACCAGGCCAAACATCCTGGCTCTGTCCAAAGGTTACAAAATCCACTACTAACAGCAGCATTAACAAATCCATTAGTGACTGACAGCACTCATTTGTATAGCCTACTACATAAACAAAACTACTTATCAAGCAACAGCTAGCACCTAGTTAACTTAGCTTAGCTTAGCTTAGCTTAGTGTAGCTTAGCACAAAGACTGAAAACAGGAGAAAACAGCCTGTCACTGTTCAAAGGCAGCAGAATATGCTTACTAGCACCTCTAAAGAACATTGACAAATTAATTTGTTCAACCCATTGATTGATACCACTCATTTGTATATTAAATAAATAAAACCACATAGTTAGCAGCAGCTAGCTTAGCACAAAGACTGTAAACAGGTAAACAGCTGCCTGTCTCTGTTCAAAGGCAGCAAAATCATCCTACTGGCACTTCTAAAGCTCACTGATTGATATCACTTATTTGTATGTTTAATTCATGAATAGATATTACTACATATTTGTACACAACAATTTCTAACAATTTAATCCAGCTGCTGCATCTTAGTGACATGATGTGAACCAAGATAAAAACATCACAAACTGTCCATCTTGCTGTCGTTTCCAGAAAGTTAACTTCACATCATCATTAAATAACTGTTTCAGTTTCATTCATCTCTATTCCAGACTATTGTTTTGTGTGTTTGTCAAAACATTTAATAAAAGTCTGACATCCTTTACTCAGTGTCAGTAACTTAGTATTTCACCTGATACTGCGTCTTAATCAGTTGATTCGTACTGTGAAATAAAAGGTGAATAAAAATGGGGCCTGATAAAGACTTAAGCATCCATGAAGGACACAATATCCCATAATGTGCTCTCTCATAGTAAATTTCACGGTAAAATTATCAGTCTAATTTAATGTGTACAGTTGCGACAGAGAGCTGAAATGTGGTGTAACATGAGCAGGGCTGCAGCGGTATAGCCCACCGTGAAACTGGTACACTGTGGTATGGAAATTAATGGTCATCATACTGTGTACATTTGCTTATAGAAAAATAAATGAAGCCAGACGGGGAATCTCAGCTGTGCACGCCCAACTCTTTCCCTCCTCGACTGCCTGACAGACATTTAAACATTATTCCATTTCAGAAAAATGGTTTCAAGTTCAAGTTTTAATAGCTTAGCATTTGTTCAACCCAAAAATCTTCTGTTTTCATTCCTGCAAGGATCAAAACTGATTATTAAGAATAACTGTGTAATAAACCTAGAAATATACCTTGAAGATTAAATCAAGTATTTATTCATTTCCTGCACTGCACTGTCATTTTTAAATATTCAAATACTTCTATTGATTTTAACTGCAACTTCATGAAACTCCATTTTAAATTATTTAAAATAATCTTCTGATCTTTGCACTTCTTGTCCACACTGCTTCTGTTTCTAATGGTCTTTTTTTAAATTATTTAGAATTAAGTTTACCTTTTATATCTTCTTACTCTTTATTCTTTTATTGTCAATCGATCGGTGTATTTCATTGTGTTTTATTGCTCTGTAAAGCACTTTGAATTTCCCTGGTGTATGAAATTCGTTGTACAAATAAAGCTGCCTTGCCTCACCGTGATACTGTGCAACTATGATATTTGTTGAGGAATTTCTAGTACTGTGAAAGTCTTATATTGTTGCAGCCGCTGTTCCAAGTTCATGCAAATTAAAGCACATACAGTATAAGTGATTTTACTTGAGTGGTATTGGCTTAAACGAGGTTTAACCAGGTCATTTTAACAACAATCTGCAGATGTGTGAAAATGGATGAATTATAAAAAAGCACAGGATGCAGATCTTTGTGCTGCAACACCGGTACTGTGAACACCAGAGAGTAAAAGCTGATTCACTCTCAGTTCTTAAAGCTCACACAACCTGTTTTTCTTAAATACTTCTGTCATTAAATAACTCATTTGAACATCCATAAACTTCAACAGCCTGGAGAAGAATATATATTAGATTTCTATATGAGGAGGGTGTGTTCCTTCAGCCTGAGATGTTAAACTTAAAGGAACACACCCGTGTTTCAGGCGTCCTGTTTCAGGTTTGTTCAGGTCGATGTTCCTTCTGCAGTGAAATAAATTAAAGTGCTGCTGTAACTCAAGTATTTGTGAGCTGACTGTGACGGTGGATTTAGATCAGCGCTGACTGTACAAAGCACTTCACATCACCGTAATGAGTTCTCTGGAGGCCAGTTAGGACTTCAGGCTGCTCTGTTTGGAATAATCTTAAATACATGAAGACTAACTGACCGTCTGCTCCCTCACACCCAGTGTTTCATCACAGCTTCATCCAAATCAGACCGACACGTTGTGATAATTCCTCCAGATTAGTGTTAAATAACTTACATCCATTCCAAGTATCTGTCTCTGTCTTTAAACTGTGTTACTAAGTCCTTCACTGGATTATACCTATGAATATTTCGGTCCAGATATTTTATAGTTTTGTTGTTGTCCAAAGCTGACCAAAAGCAGCAGTAAATGTTTCCACTAACAAGTACGATCTTCTTCTTTGTGCCATGACAACCATCAGCAAAATATAGTTGAAATATTAAACATAAAAGAACTTAATGTGCAGTGAACTGTGAAGATATTTTAACACGTCACCCAGCTGGTAAAAACTGAACTGAGCTGATGGCTGAAGAGCAACTAAGGAATCAAACACTAGAGGGAGACATTAGAGCATCAGCAGCCTCCTCTGCTGCAGGAACTCATTAATATTTTGTTTAAAAACATTTAAATCAAACATTACCAATGTGAGCACACGTCATATTGTACCAATAATAAGCTCAGTTTCAATATATTGTGTCATGATTTATCTGAAAACTGTTTGCATGATGTTTGAAGTGGACAAACACTGAAATGAGATCATCGTCACTTTGACGAATTCTGGAGATTTTAGAGGAATGTCGTGTGATGATAAAACATCTGAAAGTGAAATCTATTGGTCAAATATAGACTTTTTTTACCTCTGAAAATTTTTTTTACATAAGATTTGAACATAAGAAGTGGTTTTAATTTTTTTCTTCAGACAAGCTGTTGCAGTTGGTCTGAGTATTTACTGGGATTTTCAGCACAACCATCTCTAGGGTTTACAGAGGATGGTCCCAAAAAGAGCAAATATCCAGTGAGCCAAAATGCCTTGTTGATGCCAGATGTCAGAGGAGAATGGCCAGACTGGTTCAAGATGATAGAAAGGCAACAGGAAGTCAAATAAGCACTGGTTCCAACCAAGGTGTGCAGAAGAGCATCTCTGAAGCAACAACACCTTGTCCAACCTTGAAGCAGATGGGCTACAGCAGCAGAAGACCACACCAGGTGCCACTCCTGTCAGCTAACAACAGGAAACTGAGGCTACAATTCACCAAAACTGGACAATAGAAGATTGGAAAAACCACATTCAGATGGAAGCATGGATCCATCCTGCCTTGTATCAACGCTTCAGGCTGCTGCTGGTGGTGTAATGGTGTGGGGGAGATTTTCTTAGTACCAACTGAGCATGGTTTAAACACCACAGCCTACCTGAGTATTGTTGCTGAGCGTGTCCATCCCTTTATGACCACAGTGTACCCATCTTCTGATGGCTACTTCCAGCAGGATAACGCACCATGTCACAAAGCTCACATCATCTCAAACATGACAATGAGTTCACTGTACTCCAATGGCCTCCACAGTCACCAGATCTCAGTCCAATAGAGCACCTTTGGGATGTGCTGGAACGGGAGATTCTCATCATGGATCATCTGTGTGATGTCATCATGTCAATATGGACCAACATCTCTGAGGAATGTTTCCAGCACCTTGTTGAGAACCAAGAATTAAAAAGGGGGTCCAACCTGGTACCAGCAAGGTGTACCTAATAAAGTGGCCGGTGAGTGTGTGTCTTCCATATGATCTGAGCTCACAGTAAAACCATCAGCTGTGTGTTCACAGCATGTGTTGTTTTCCAGTTGAATATTACATCATAACTCCTGCTGTGTTTTAAACTACAAACCATGAAATAAATTAAATAACTCAACGCACATTTTTGACCTTCAGCTGATATGTTTTGGTCTCTCAGACTCCACGGTCATGTCAACAGTATGTAGCGTCAATTATGCAGTGAAATAAAGGCACCTTGTTTTCTGTTTATCTCCTACTGTGACGTTAGAACTAAGCTGCTCAGGTGATGTCATCATTTTATAACATGAGACGTGTGTTTCAAAAAAATGCTTCACATCTCTGCAGCGGCTTGAAAGACACAGCTTATGAAAACCAATACTTCAACCACTGATTTCTTTTTTTAAATTGACGACAGAGCTTCTGTTTGCTGCAGAGCAACATTTTGTTTCCTCTCTCCTCAGAAACAACAAAGAGATTGTTTACTTCACAAGTTTTTACTTTTAATGCCTGACATCATGAACTTGAGTCTGACTGCTGCCGTCAACATCCTGATCGTCACCAGATACCTGGTAAGTTATATTGTGTACAATTATTACTTTTTTTTTTTTTACTGTGCAATATTCTTAGTACCTCTTATTAAACATACAATGCACATAACTGTACACATTTCTTATGTTTATTCTTCTTGTCTTTATTCTATTGACATATAACCATTATAGCATAATATATATTTTATATTTTACAGACTCAGCACAGAGAAGATTTTAAGTACTACAATGCACATTTTTATTGTTATTTTATTGTATGTTTTTACTTTATATTCACGCACAAAAAGAAAAAAGATATTTTTGGCAGATACATAGACGAGGACAAGTTGTGTTGGGGGAGTGCATATTCATCCTGTAACACTGGGTGGAACCTGGACTGTAAATAAACTGGGTTTATTATTTATTTAACTGGCTGGTAAACAGACTGGGAATAATTGTATATTAGTCGTAAACTAGTCCATAGCCATTGGTAGTTTTGTCACCTTCTACCTATGCCAGTCCTCAATGCCTATGTGCAGTTTCACATAGATTGACCACGTCAGTGAGTAGAAAAACGTGGGACAGACAGAATGACTGACTGACAGAATGACACACTGACAGTTTGCATGATTATGTACAGCATACCATACCATGACTTAGTCATACCAAACATTAGAAACAACACCAACATTGGTCCACAGGGGGAGCCACAGCGATCGGTCGCATTTTAGCCATTTTGAAGCATTTTTCTGTTGTTATAGCGCCACCCAGTTGCCAATTAGAGTTAAATTTCTCCAGTCACCTTGAGGCGTCCTGTTCTACATATCTACCAAGTTTAGTAAAAATCCATATGGCGGTTAGGCCTAGATAAGAAATGAGCTCTCTAGCGCCCCCATTTTGTTTGATGGGGTCAATAATGGAGGGGTCCCCTCAGATTATGTGTGGTCATATGCCTACAAAGTTGCGTGGTGATGGGTGAAACCCTTGAGATGTTATACACCTTTATGTGATGAGCCACGCCCTCCGCAATATTCATTGCCTTATAGAAGCTCAGTTTTAGTAAGTTTTCCAACTTTTGCCAAGAGGGAACTTTAGATATTGGTCCCTAGATTATGTTCACCCAGTTTCATGCAGATCGCTCAAACTTCCTAGGAAGAGATCCATTTGAAGTGTTTTTCAAAAAATTCAAAATGGCGGAAAATCTATATAAGCGGAAGTTATGGGTTCTTGAGGCAAATGTGTTCCTCATGAGGAGAGGCATCTCTGTGCAAAGTTTCATGTCTCTACTACATACGGGGCATGAGATATGCCCATTCAAAGTTTGACATTTCAATGGGTTGCTATAGCGCCCCCCTTTGGCCAATTGATGTAATATTGCTTCATTGGCATCCTCCCATGACCCTCTACCACTGTGCCAAATTTCACATGGATTGACCAAGTCAGTGAGGAGAAAAACGTGGAACACACACACAGACACACACACACACAGTTTATCATTATATAGTGAGATGTATACTTGTGTCTAAATTGAGTACTTTGATATTTTTTCTATTTCTGATATATATGTTTTTGTATTTTATCTTTATTCTATAGGTATCCTGATGCCATTCAACTTTCACTTTCCATCTGTGCTGTTTGAGCTGCTGTAAAGTGAATTTCCCCGCTGTAGGATCAAATAAGTTTTATCTTATCTTTAATGAATTTGGGAATTTGTTGAAACAATAATATCTGAGTTTAAGGAAGAAATGTAAAAAAAGGGGTCGCGACGTATAAGTTCTACTTCTACTTACTCCTTTTCGGACACTGTTCTCTTTATTGTGTTTGTTTTTTTTAATTGTTTTTTATTTTTTTGGGCTCAAAATAAAGTCATTAAATATTCTTGTTTATGTGTCTCTATTCTCTACATCAGAGCAACTGTAATGAATCACAATTTCCCCTCAGGGATAAATAAAGTATTCACAAAGTATTTCTGTTTCTATAAAATGTAAAGAGAGGTGGAAACTACAGATAAATTAAACTAACCTGTATTCATCTTTCTTTCTGTCAGGTGAGTTCAACTCATCCCGAGTGTTTGATTGTTCTTCATCTCCAAGAGAAAGAAGATGAGTGTAAACTACAGATGAGGACAGATGCTGCAGCTTCGCTCCGATCAGCCAGTAACACCACTGCAGGTAAACAAATACACAAAGTTTAAATCCTCCGTCTGAGCACCGTGAGCTGATGATGTTGTAATTTCAGGTTGTATGACAGAGTGGGACGGAGTCAGCTGTTGGCCGGCTGCCTCTGAGGGACAGATGGTCTCTGTCCACTGTCCTCTGCTGTTACTGAAGCCTGAAACTCCTCCAGGTAAACTTCATTATATTCTTTACATACGTCACATAAATACAGTCACACTGAAGTTCTCTAAAGTTTAGTTCACTTTTCAATTACAGGTAGGCGACATGGCCCTGAAATAATATCACGATATTTTTACACAAATGATATTCTTGATGACAAATGAGTAAAAAAATAAATTAAGAAAACAGAATTATACACAAAATCAGTTTTATCTAGTTTCACAGTTTGCTTCAAATATTCAGTAAAAACTAAAATGATCTCTCATTTCTTTAGTTTATGAACAACAACAGTGACTCAGAGTCAGATTCTGTTTCACTATCAATAGTTCAACTAAATAAACTCTAATCACACATTTACAGGTGACAGATACAGGATTCACACTTCCCGGTCAGTAGGTGTCACTCGGTGCCCTCGCTCTCGCTCCACTCTTCAGTTCTACAGGTTGCCAGGTTGGTAAACGACAGACACTGGAGACAGCAATGTCAAGTGAAATCATGAATCTTCTCTTGTGCGCCCTGTAACACGCTGTAACAATCTCCATAAAGCATTTTTAGCTCTACTCGTCACTAATGCTAACGTGATTAGTCAGTTAGGATCCTTTGTGGTGGTCGACACACGGATTCCCTGATTCAACAACGTCCTGTATACACACAAAAACACCAAAGTGTTCTTGATATTAAAACGGCAAATATATTCCTCTGTTATAATTTCCCACCAATAATAATAATAATAATAATAATAATAATAACAACATGATAGTTCAGCTGTACTAGATATTTGATATATTCAGTAGATTTACTTTTTTACGTCACTATTTGACAACTCTACAACCGGAGTCCCAAAAACGCAGTTTCTAGAGAACTTGTTAAAATATCTTAAATTAACCATCATCTTTACTTTTTCTTAACATAGTTCATCTAGGTGCAGTGTGTTTACTAGTTCAGCTTTACTACATATTAGATATATTCAGTAGATCTATCTTTTAACAACTCTATTTTACAACAAGCCGGAAAAACCTACCGTCCCAAAAACGCCATTTCTAACATATTAGCTAAAATATCGAAAATTAGCCGACATCCTTACTTTTTCGTAACATGGTTCATCTAGGTGCAGTGTCACTACTAGTTCGGCTTTACATTAGATATATTCAGTAGATTTACTTTTTTACGACACTATTTGACAACTCTACAACCGGAGTCCCAAAAACGCCGTTTCTAGAGAACTTGCTAAACTATCTTAAATTAACCATCATCCTTACTTTTTCTTAACATAGTTCATCTAGGTGCAGTGTGTTCACTAGTTTGGTTTTACATTAGATATATTCAGCAGATATATATCTTTTTACAACCCTGCTGCGTTAGCTAACATTAACGTTAGCTTACCTGTCCAGAAGGAAAGCAGAAACCTCTGTGTGGCTTTTTAGTCCTTTTTCTGCCTTCAGCCAACACCAACGATCAAAAGCTGAACCCATGTTGATTCAGGTTTTGCTTCTCCATCGGTCGGCTAGAATTTGCGACGAATAGCGCTGGTACGACGCCATACCTCTGCAGCTATCACAATCTGGCAACCCTGAGCCCCCCCCCCCCCGGTAACCAACGTAACCAAATAAAAATATTGACATATTTTGGACCTGTCAAAATTTTCTACAACAATTAATTCTCTGCTGTAATTTTTTTTTTTCAGAAATATATATAAATATAGACTTTAATTCTACACCTTTCCAGTCGTTCTATGGATGTATTCTTTTTTTAAAAAATATTTGTTTGGATGAAACAGCTGTACGTACGACCTTTAACAGCTCCCAAATATAAAAAATGTCTCCTGGATCGTATTTGCCACTATAGCTTTATGAGACGACATGTCAGTGTTTACAGGTTGTTTACACCGCCTCCATGTTACAAAGAAATCAGTTCTTGCAGGTTTAATTAAATTTTAATTAAAATTTCTGTCAGTTTTATCTCCCAACACAATAAATCTCTTTTTTCACTCTTTTTTATTATTCAGCCTGAAAACAGTTCAAACATTTTATCTGAATAACCCTTAAAAACTCATCAAGGGAAATTAACCCCCCTCCCGCCCCAACTGATGGCACAAGCTCAACAAACTAAACTGAGCAGCATTACATCACCTGATTGAGTCCTAAACTAGTAATTATATCCTCAATATTGGTTTTGAATCTGTGTTTCAGGTCCCAGCTGCAGTTTGAATGTTTTAAGCTTCTCTCAGTGAAACATCTTCTCCACAGTTCTCATCACCAGAAGCTGCACAGTGAGCGGATGGAGCGAGCCGAGCGTGCCGTACTACAAGGCCTGTTACTATGAAGCTTCAGAGGAAGATGAAGACGTGGGCAAAGAGGTGCAGTAGATGGAGTTCAGCAGCAGGGAAGCAGACATGTGGTTCTTCATGCCTCTGATTGATGAATATTTCATACTTTGCTCCAGAAACATTACTTTGATACGGTGAGGCTGATGTACAGCGTTGGATACGGAGCGTCTCTGGCTGCTCTGCTCGTCGCTGTCCTGCTTTTCTGCTGCTTCAGGCTGGTTTACTTTGACAACAGAAACTCAAAGACAGATCACACAGTTAAACATTTATAATGAAAGGTTGTGACAATATTCCTCCTCTGTCTCTCAGGAAGCTGCTCTGCACACGCAACTACATCCACCTCAACCTGTTTGTCACCTTCATGCTCAGAAGTCTGGCTGTGTTCATCAAAGACGTCGTGTTGTTTGCAGACAGAAGCACGGACCACTGCACGGTGTCCACAGTAATGTCAGCTGACACATGCATGAATATCTTAGAGGAGAGCTAATTCCTCCAACATGAGAGCTCATTGGTTGAATATGATCTCATTAGAAGTTGTCATAACTGAAAAAGTCTGATGCAAAGATTGTATGTGAATGTACTGAAGGCTCATTTTTATCTCTGTACAAGAAGAAACGCACCAAACTCTGCAGCCTGACTCTGAACACATGCAGATAAGATGACGTCTGTGATGTAACGCTGTGTCCTCTGTGTCGTCTCAGCTCCGGTGCAAAGCAGCTGTGACCTTCTTCCACTTCTGTGTTGTGTCTAACTTCTGGTGGCTGCTGGTGGAGGCTCTGTACCTGCAGACTCTGCTGCTCTGCACCTTCACTCACACCACCAAGCTCTTCTGGATCTACGCCACCGTCGGCTGGGGTACGCTGTGTGTGTGTGCGTACAGATCTATGCTGACTGTGTTTGTGTTTGTTCACCTGTCTGTGTCTGATGGAGAGCCTGATGTTACAGGTGCTCCGTCAGTGACTGTTGTGATCTGGGCCCTGCTGAAATCACAGCTGGATGATGAGGGGTGAGTCAAACACAAACACATCTTATGTTTCATATTTTAATTCTATGTGAAAGGATGGTAATATCTCTGTGTGTGCAGGTGTTGGGACGACCTGGAGAGCCGCTTGTGGTGGATAATCAAGACTCCCATCCTGCTCTCCATCTTTGTGAGCACATGTCCCGCACGCATCTCTGCATTTTATATTAACAAACAAAACTCTGGGGTCACATATGAACATTTCTCCCTTTGACTGTCTCCTCATAGCAGCTTGAGGAAGTTTGCTTGCTCTGGTATTTGGAGGAACAGCTCAACATTTTTGGGAAACACGTATAATTAGTTTCTTGCACAGAGTTAGATGAGGAGTCTCTGCATTAAATACAAAGCTACAGCCAGCAGCTGGTTAGCTTAGCTTAGCACAAAGAGCAGAAACTAAAGTGGCTCTGTTCAAACAAACAGACTACAGTGTGTTAATATGAGCTTGTTCCATCCAGACAGAACCAGGTGAGTTGTTTCCACCTGTTCCAGAGTGGAATTCTTCGGTGATGTATTAATGTTTGTGCACATTTGATTTAGTTTTCATATGTTTACATCAGGCTATTATTATTAATTGATATTATTTATTATTGTAGTGTTTATGCAAACACAAACAGAGCTGCACATTTTATTTGAGGGTTTCAATATAAAAAATAATGAAATGGTTTCTTTGTGTGTGTCAGAACTTTCTGGACATTTGAAGCACATTTTAATACCATAATAACAATAATAATAATAATAATGATGATGATAACCATGAAAATGTTGGTCACCGTAATTGTGAAATGAAATTTTCATCCTGTTTCAACTCACATAAAAGTGGAACCAATCTTCTCATCTCACTCTCAGCATGAAAGTGAATAAGTGCGTTTCCCAAAATGTCGATCAGTTGAACCTTTACAGCCTCCAGGTGGCTAAATATCAGTGTGATTTGTACATTTTTATAATAATCTTTTTAAAAGACGAAATGATTAAAACACATGCTGCTATTTCAGGTTCCCAGGTAGCAAAGCTGCATTTACAAGTACAGTTAGAGAATATCTAATATTTGGAAATATTATTGTGTAATAAGGCACATCATAATATTGTTGGTGGCATTACTGTTGAAAATGAATCTCTTTATTAGGAATGCACAATAATATCTGCACGTCAGCAGTACTGGTTGATACTGGCGTTATAATTAACTATTAAATCGTCCAACATGCTTTTTCTTATTTTGAAAATGAATGCATATTACACATACAATTAAAAGTACTATTGTGTTTCGTGTCTCCATCTGCTGGTGGGCCGTCACGATGACAGTATGTATGTATAATATGATGTTTATTCCACCACAGAAGAGTCTTGATGATGATCAGTGAAATTAGGTGGATTTATTGATATCGGTTTTATGTTATTGGTCAAATAAGTTGTTATATATCGGCATATTGTATATCTGCAAAAAAATCCCTAAATCCCAAAAATCCAACATGGTGCATCCCTACTCTTTTTTTTATTATTAAAAAAACATTAATAATAAAAATTGAAAATTGAATTATACTGTTTGTAGTTTAACATCTGTGTGTGATCTGATCCACAGATCAACCTCGTGATCTTCCTGAACATCAGCAGGATCATCGTTCAGAAGACAAAAGCCACACATGTGAACCAGAGTGAGACACACCTGTACAGGTGAGACCCTGGGGCCAGCTGCACAAAACAGTTAAGATTTGCCTTAAAGTCCATCTTAAGATTTTTTGAAAATAAAATCAGCTGCACCATCAGGTTTCCTTAAATATTTACTTAAGTATTTAAGGTTTTCTCCTTAACTTGGTGTTACACTTAAGGAATCCCTTAACCTTAGTTAAACCATTGCACAAAAGACTTTAGGTATCACAAGCTTGAGCACAAGCACACAAATGGTTGTCATGGAAACTGGTATTTTACCACTGTAAAATATTTCAGTGCAGAAAATGCCTTTGTTGTTGTTGTTTTGATGTAACTATGGAAACCTTCTCGGGGATTCTGTCCCTCAGCTAAGGAAAACTTAAGTGTCATACTTACAGTATGGAGAAAACTTAAGGTGTTTGTGCAGCTGGCTCCTGTTATTGATCCATTATTCCCTCATCTGTTCTTCACCTTCCTGTCAGTGTGTCTCTGGTCTTTGACCGTCCTCTGCTGCCCTCTGCAGGACACTGCTGCGCTCCACTCTGCTCCTCATCCCTCTGTTCGGTGTTCACTACATGGTGTTTGCACTGATCCCAGAACACGTTGGCGTCGGGCCGCGACTCTACTTTGAATTAGTTTTAGGCTCCTTCCAGGTAACACATCTGACACACCACTGGATTAAAAGTTATTCAGTTAATAGTTTGTTTTATAGTTATTTAATACCCTACAAGAAGATTCATTTGAAGATAAAATTCTGAACTAATTGTTTGGTCTGAAAAATGTCAGAAAAGAGTGAAAGTTGAAACCCAAAGATTATTTTATTACATCACTTTGATTGCTTTACATTTTTATGTCAAATTTATTGATATTTTTTAGACCAAACAATTGTTTTCTTAATTAATCAATTGTTTGTCTGGCACATGGTCCAGAACCCAAAAATATTTACCATCATATCTCACAAATATAAATAAAAAAGTCAAACATTTGCTGCTTCTCAAATGTGAGGATTTATTAGATTGGAAAATGACTTCAATGATTAAACAATGAATCACCTGCTGGCTGCAGCTGTAGAGATGTAATATAATTACAGTACTTTCCTAACTGATTTTTCATCTTGCCTCAGGGTTTTATTGTCGCTCTGCTGTACTGCTTTCTAAACGGAGAGGTAAAACAAGTCTGCACAATAAAAAGAACGACTTCATCAGAGTCAGGTTTGTCACAATTAATTAAAATTATTACTCATCATTATCTTTCAGGTCCAAAAAGAGATCCAGAGGACGATGAGACGGTGCTGGCCTGAAAGAATAACTAACACCATCAATCTTCCAACTCAAGAATTCGTCCCCTGAAGTCCAAATACAGAAAATACTGCAGTTTGCTGCTCATTAGTTATCTGACTAGTTTATTATCCCGCCTTAATAAACCAGCTGCACAATTTTACTTCTTTTAAAAAAGTGATTTTTTTTTTTTTTTTTGTTATTTCTTCTTCTAACCCTAACCCTCACGCTCAGTGATTTAAAATATTCTCTTTGCACTCGTTTGTGAAGTTTCCTCTGAGAACAACAGAGCCGTGTTGATGCATGTGGCTATGTTCTGTTATGGTGGCTGTAAAATGATATTTATAAGAAAATAAGATAAGTTAGTTTGTTATCATTCAGCATGTGTGAGGAGTTTCACCTGACTGAAAACAGTCCAACTACAAGCAGCTCTCGTGCATCAGGCTGACACCTGGTGGTCAGTCCATCACATTTACACCTGATGACAAACACACAATCTCCTCCTCTGTTTTAAGTTTGGTTCATGAGCTCAGAAATGTGCGCTGGAGTCAGACCACAGAGAGGTTTAAAAGATCTTGAGTACAATCCTGAGGTACTTCTACTTTACGCAAGATTTGTGCTTCATTCTTGCCAAGAAATAAGATCAGCATACTGAGCTCTTTGTCACCTTGTTTCCTTTCATATAAACCTACTCAAGTGTTTTTGTCACAGGCTCAAACCTGTGAGGTCACTGCTGTGGAGAGTTTCACTTCCTGGAACCAAAACTTTTAATAAATACTTTCAAAATAAGACAACAGAGTGTTTCTTTTTTTCAAGTATCAATCAAATACCTGTTTCCATCTCTGGTTCTGATCGGCACTGATGGAAACACAACACCTGGGTGAACACGCTAATGTTAGCCCCTTGACCACTGTGATGCCACAGCGCACCATCACAACATACTGTCCACCTCCGCCCGAGCAGTGCTCAAACATCGATGGAAATACGTCTGCATCAAATTACAAAGAGAGACTGAATAAGGAAGAGATAGTACAAGTATGAGTGAGTATGTATCTGTGCTGTTTTCTGCTGTTCATTAACCTGTTTTCAGGCCTGTCTGTGATGTCGACCTTGACACACGTGAGCTGTGTGCACAGCACTGGTCTGATGTCACTGGGAGGAGTCTACAGCATATTTTTAGTGGGTTTTCATTTGTTTAAAAAAACCTGCATACATGTGGTAATTTTGATGGAAAAGGTTCCAGGTCTCATTTATCCAGTCGTATGCTCAGTCCCTCCCAAACACATTTTAACATTTATGCTAAAACATTTTGATGATTATTAAAACACACCAAATGCCTGTGTTTGGGACGTCCTGAGCATATGACTGGATAAATGAGACCCGGACTGTACTGCGGGAGTTTGTACGTGGATATTTTTGATATAGTTTTGCTCCTCTTCACTTCAGTTCATAAAAAATAGGGACCTTTTTTTTTTTTTATTCTTTCTTTCGTTCACCATGGAAATGTGAATTTGGCCAGGCTACAGTGACTTATTTGGGTAGAGTCGTGGGCTGTGGCCAAGTTAAACCTGTGAACTCCAAAGTTGAGGCCATCCTGTCCTTCCCTGCTCCAGGTTCTCGACACGAGCTGCGCCGTTTCCTGTGGATCGCAGGATATTACAGAAGCTTCTGTAAAAACTTTTCGGCTATTGCAGCTCCTCTCACTGACTTGTTAAGTCCCAAATCACCTTTTCACTGGTCTCTGAGTTGCCAGCGCGCAGTTGAGTGTATAAAATCTTTGTTAACGAACGCTCCGGTCCTTGCTGCACCCGTTTGATCGACCGTTTAAAATGTTTGTTGATGCGAGTGATGTGGGGTCGGGTGCTGTCCAGCTGCAGGACGGAGATGATGGGATAGAGCATCTGGTCTCCTGTTTCTGTAAGAAATGTAACCGCCATCAACGAGTCTACTCCACGATTGAGAAGGAGGCATAAGGCCCGTTTCCACTGAAGAAGTTCCTGGTACTATTTGGGGGGCAGGAACTACTACAGGAACGTCCTCTCGCTCGGCCCTCTCAACCGCCGTGTCTCCACTGAGAGAGCAGAGTAGGAGGAAGGTTCCTGTAAAGTTACCGGGCTCTGGATGTGACGTAATTGTTGCACAACCATTTTGACCGGGGCGACGTAGGCGCGTAGGGACGCCGTTAGTCATTAGCCGTGTCTGTAATAACTCACTAAACTCACAAAGTGGCCCGTGAAAAAAATATTTTTTCCAGCAGATGTCTTAGTTACAACATGATTGAGCTAACTGGAGTAGGTTCATGTCGTATCCGACAACGGGAGGCTTTTAACAGATGACGTCCTGATGTTAGCTTTGCTGCTGCTGTTAGCTGTCCCTGTCAGCTGATGCTTTCTAGACATTGTGATTTCCCAAAACTGCATAAATACCACACATAGCAACACAAAACTGCTTTGCTAGCTCAATCATGTTGTAACTAAGATATCCGCTGGAAAAAATATTTTTTTCATGGACCGTTTATTGAGTTATTACAGACACCGCTAACAGCTAACGGTTAGCCCAGCTAATCTACGATAACCATGTTATTAATTACAGAACGTCACATCCCGTCTTGAGTATATCCATTCAGCACCAAGTAATCCCCATGCCCCAGCCAGGAGTTTCTCTGTGCCGCTCTGAGTACCTACCCCGAGGCAGGGACTTGTTTAGCCCCTGTAAAATTTCCGGAACTCTGTCTTTCGGGGGTGGTTCCTGCGGTGGAGACACGTACCAATGGCCCCGGCCCCGTAAAATTACCCCGAAGTTCCTGCGGTGGAAACGGGCCTATTGGTGCTGATTCTGGCTTTAAAACATTTTGAGGTCTATGTAAGGTCCGCCAGTACGCCTCGGTTGTTTATACTGATCACAACCCGTTAGTGTTCATTAATCAGATGCGACACACTAACCAGAGACTCATGTGGTGGGCCCTGTTTTTACAGGGGTTCAATGTAGAAATCAAGCATGTAAAAGGTTTTGGCCAGGACCTCCGTCCCTCTTTTGTTTATGGTTTGTGTTTATTTAACTAAAGTATTATTGATTAAAAAAAATAAAGAGTTTGTTTTGGCAATAGTCGGTGTGGTGTCCGTTTTGTTCGGTCTCCCTTTGAGCCTTTTGTGTTGTTTATGGAGACCGTAACAGCATGTGAGGAAAATTATTTCCTTCAGGAATTTAAGGTAACACAGAGTGAGTAACTGAAATACAAGCAGTCATTTGGGGATGAAGAATTACGTTAAGTAAAAATACAAAATCATTAGCATTAAAATATACTTAAGTATTCTGTATGCAGAGTGCTGGATTTCAGAATAACTATATAAGTTGATTAGTCAGTTACTGCTGCATTAATGTGTTCATCACTTTAATGTTAAAGCTGGTAAAAGTGGAGTTCATTTTTTTACTTCCAAGACTGTTGAGTAGCTTTATCTACATTCTCAGAACCCATCAGCTGTATTTGGCGTCTGACTTCCGGCAGACGGCGATACAGCCTCTGGGAGCAGACCCCCAATTTTTTGGCATTCCAGTTTGATTTGGGCGGAGGAGGCGAATTTCCGTTTCCGACTTCTGTTATATATAAGTAAACATGCTGAACCACTTGGATGCATTCAGAGTTTGCAGTGATGCCAATTATGTTCCGCCTCGTTAGTTCACGGACCGGCTCAAACGTGATTGGTCAGTATCACGCGGACTACAAACAGCCTACAACCGGAAACCAGGGCTCTTCCGCTCTTCTTCCGGAGGCAAGATCTCTGGAGTCTACTTTATCTATAATAATACATCATCATTTATCAGGTTAATTATAATTTGTAAAAAATAATCTAAATTTGCAAAGTAACTGAAGGAATCAAATAAATTAAATGGGAAAAAAAGTTCAAGATTCCCCTCTGAAAGCTGCAGAGTAGAAATATAAATTAGCATAAAATGGAAATACTTCAAGTGCTGCAAAAATGTACTTCAGTACAGTCCCTAAGTAAATGTGCTTAGTTTGATGGCTCCCAGATCTCCTCAGAAATTAAGAGACTTGCATGGTGTGAGGACTTAAACAACGGAATCTCAGTCAAGGGTCTGCAGAGAATCTGCTTCAAACAATCCATAAACATCCATTTTAAATGAAGTGGATAATCCCAAGACCCCTGACATATGTAATAAATGTGGAATAAAGGGCACACTACTTTATTGCTTATGGGACTGCCCTCATGACACACACTTGTAGGTGCCTTGTTTTGTTACCTATCTAAGGTAACTGTAGCTTTTGGCCTGGAGCAGATACCATCAGGTGGTACCCAACTGTCACTGTGTGTTTCGGCCCTCAACCACAACACAGTCTAGTTGGAGGGCCGGTAGTGATTGGCCAAATCACTGCCTATCTGCTCCTGACCTCCAGCTTTCCTCCTCTCTCTTACTCCAAATCCAACAGGAGGCTCGTTCAGCCTCCTCCCCCATCTTGCCAGCAGCTTGTTTTTTGCTCCTTTCATCAAGGCCCAGAGCTGACTATAATCGCCATGCTGACTTGGCTGGGAAACCTCTGCATCTGATCTCCACCAGAAAAGCCGCACCTGCCAACCCTTGTCCTTACAATCCTGGACTAAGGACTGGTACTTCAAGGCCGTCCTCTGGTGGGCCACTTCGCAGCCTTCCTCCCATGGTACTGTTAGCTCGACCAGAATTATCTTCTGGTCTTTGGTTGACCACAGCACGATGTCTGGCTGGAGGGTTGTGTGCACCACCTCCGGGAACTGCAGCCTTCTTCCCACATCAACTGCCATCTCCAAGGAACTGGCGGCTTGCGGCAGGTTGGATTTTGCTCTCTTGGTTGAAAAGGGCTTGACTCCCTCCTTGATGAAGGAGATTGTCCTCTTTGAGGTCGTGCAGACCGGCCTCTTCTTGCGTCTCTCCTGCTCTAGTGTGGCGATGGAAGAGTGTCATAAACTGACTGCAAGAGGTAGGAAATGCGGTCAGGCTCCAGTCTCCATAGTTCTGCCCAAGAGATCTTCCGCTTGAGCAGATCCCATTTTGTCCAGGCACTCTCGCCTCTCCTCCTCTCGGGTCCGAACTTCCGCCTGGACCATGTCACGCCTGGTCCTTGCATTTGCGACTCCCCACTGTTGGAAGTGTGCAGAGCCGAGGCCTTGCCGCTGGACACATGGGTTGCCAATGATGCCTCGCAGCTTTAGAGAGCTAACTGCTTGCTCTATGGCCACATTGGCTGCCAACTTGCCCCCAGACCTGGTTGTGATGCCTGCTTGCTTCACCAGGTCATCGTTGGAGTCTCTGAGGCTTAGTTAGACTCTGCATTTCACAACCTTGAACTCCTCCATGGCTGATGACAGGGGGAGTTGTAGCCACCCAGACCGGATGTAAAGGCCCACTGAGGAGAAGCTTGGTGGGACTCCTAGCCATCTCCGTAGGCGCTTGTTGATCTTCCTTTCGATGCCCTCTACGGTAGTCGTGGAGAACTCATAAACTGTGAAGAGCCAAAGCAACCTGGGCAGGAGGCCGTGCTGGTACAGCCAGGTCTTGAATTTGCCTCGAAGTTCGGACCTGTCAATCTTCCTCAGCCAATCCTCTGTCTGCTCCACCGCATTGGAGACATTGGTGCCATCAGTCAGGGACGCATTGGACCACTTCCCCAAGCCCTTTACCCAAAGCCCAAATATCCAGGTGTTCTGGACTCAGGTTTTGGATATCTTTTCACACGTCACAAGGTGTCTGTACGCCCCAAACTGTGTATCTTTGCAAAACGTTCTGTAAAATGTCAACTAAGCAAGGCAGATAAGAAAATGACACTATAACCAGACTCTGGATATCTACCATTAGACCAGGTTTACAAGCCTGGCTTGCAGGACTGTTGCACTCTGCTGCCCTTACTTTTATGATTTAGGGTAAAAGTTCTACTTTTGATAAGATATGAGGATGTTTTATGACGACGTACACAGAAGTCGACTTGTCTTCATTACTATCCCTTTCATACACAGTGGTCACTGCATCAGACAGCTATTTAAAAGCCATTTTCTTGTATCTGCATTAGGGATGTAACAATACCAAAAATTCAGTAGTCAGTGCAGATACCAGTAAAATTACACAATACTCGATACCAAAGTCGATACCACGGTAAAAAAAAAATCCTAAGATCCCATGTACTGAAACAAGACATACCTTATTAAATATCTGCATATAAAATAACATTTCTATCAACATATTGATATTACTTATATTTTTTCTTTTTCTCTTTACCTATTTTTCGTTGCAAAAAACATTGATCAACATCCGCAATAAACTCAATAAACTATTGATTTACTATTTAAATCACGCTGACAGCGTTTGAGCCAGCCACAAGAACGTGTGGAATTTCATTGGTTTCATTTATTGTTTGTCCTGTCCCAGTGCAAACGGCATTTTTTGACGTCCGTTGTCCAGTTGTGGAAAAATCAAACATCCCAATACAATAAATCAAACACACGGACAAAGCTCTGCACGGAGCACGGACGGTTCAGAAGCAATTCGGAATGAGTTAAAAATAATTAATAAACAGACAAAGTGGTGTTTAAAACTGCATATATTGCTAGCAGATCTATTTTCTGGCCTAAAGTGCGGCTGTGACTGGTTCTGAATGTGGGCTTTAGCAGCCAATAGTATCCAGCTGAAGGCAGCCGCTCTCTCCTCTTCCTCATCACCCCCTCGCTCTGAATGTAGGCATGGACTGTATCGCTATATGGCGTGTACTGCCCCCTTCAGTTCCAGAATAGTCATAGCACTGATTCTTACGCTGGTATCGGTTCTTCCGTTTTTTCAAAAAAATGAGTATCACTGGATATTTTTCATCATGGTATTGAAAGGTATCGCAAGTATCAGTTCACATGACATCACCAATCTGAATGGGTTTTGATGCTATAGTTGCATTTAAGTCACTACAGTGGACCCTAGTGCGTCATGCCCTTCATGCCATACACTGCCACCCACTGGCCAGGTGTTGTCAGTGCAACACAAAGCTCTCAAGACCAAGATGGCCGACAAAACGCAAGCAATGTTGTGCAGCTCAAGAATATCTTGCCAGTCCTTCTATAATGGGAGACCCTGGTAGATAAATGGAATCTGGTAATATCACGTAACATCTCAGGTGTGATATGGTTGTTAAATTTTCCAAGTATTAATTTTATGTTGTGAGGAAATTACAGTTAATCATCTGTCCACTAAACTGGACATCGTGCATCACTGGCTATATTTCAACTACAATCAATACGATTACTGAAACTTTGCTGTTCTTGAAAATACATCTTCCATCTGCAGTGATTTTTTGGGGGGTATAAATCAATTCATTTAAGTTATTAGAATGTAATGTACAGAAACAATATTTCACAATATTTTTCCATAAAATGTTCATTGAAAAAATGATATAGTTCAACAGAGAGAGTGGGGGGGGGGCTGAGGAGTGAAGAGGAAGGAGCTGATTGAAGGAGAGGGGGGAGGGGGGTACAGGAGGGAGAAGCTGAGGAGTCAGGAGCAAAGTTCACCTCCTTTACATGGCACTGTACAGCATCAGAACTTAAATGTGAACACACGAGTTTAACAGCATTAAAAATTACATCTTTTATACTTTAACATGACATTTATCATTCTTTGAATTGATTTATATTTCCTCAGCTGAAAACTTAAACACACTCAATGGGTCACAATAATAATAATAATAATAATAATAATAATAATAATAATAATTAGTATCATATCTGATTATTTATTCTGACCCTTGGCATGCTCACTGCACAGCCCCGTCGCAGCAGCTGATATTAAGATTGATTTCAAGATCAGTTTATTGGTTTATAAAGCTCTTAATGATCTGAGTCCTGTTTATCAGATTTGCTTTTATGGTATGAACCCTGTAGAACCCTCAGGTCTTCTGGTCGTGGCCTTTTAATCATCCTCAAAGTTGCAGCAAAGACCCACGGTGAGGTATTGAAGTCCTGACGGCTGCACTGAGTGTCCATGTTTTTAAAAGCAAACTCAAGACCTGCCTTTTTAGCCTGGCTTTTAATTGAACTGTCTTATTTTATTTTCTAATTTTGTATTTATTTATTTTCTATTCCTCTCTTTAATCGCTGTGAAGTACATTGTGTTGCATTCTTTTTGTGCGCAAAGTGCCATATAAATAAAGTTTGACTGATTGAAGATGACGCCTGACGTGAGTGTTCTATTTTATACCTTACTTGTTTTTTTGTTGTTGTTTTTTATGTTTTATTTGAAGTATATTAAAAATCCAACAAACACTCTTGTTTAAAATAAAAATGAACTTAGTAACTTTCTGACTGGCGGCTGGCTCCATGTGTACTCAGCCAGAGACGCCCCGTCAGAGACCTCAGGGGCCCCCAGGTACAAAGAAACAAAGAGCAGGCATGAATGAATCTGTGGAGGAACTTCAAAGTAAAACTCAGATTAGATAAACTCTCTGATTCAAGAGTCCGCCGATCAGACGGATCTGAGTTTGACGAGTTCACTCTCTGTCCGAGTGGGAACGTTCGGCACGTGAGGAGTTAAAGAAAAAAGTATCTCCAAGAACAAGAGGAGAAAGGAATCCCACGTCCCCTCCCTCGCCTCTGAATGGTCTCACCCACTGGTTCACATGGCACCCTCCCCCCATGTGTGTGTGTTGTCTTTGCTTTATATAGTGCAGAGTTATGGGCCGCTCTGCCCCGGGACTGTTAGATCAGACTGCAGCCGCACAATCTGTCCGTTTTTTGTTCTCCTGTGTTGATAAGAAACACGTGAAGAGCCTCTGCGCTCCGCTGCCATCACTTCTTCCATCTCTGTCATCTCTATCCAGTCTACAGAACATCAGGCTCATCTGCAAAGGGACAAAATGAATGGGACAGTGGACGGGATGTATGACCACGCTCCTCATGACGGCTCCTTCATGTTTACCTCTGAGTCTGTGGGAGAGGGACACCCCGGTGAGTACAGGACTCCCTCTCCATGCTGCTGCTGAGTGAGGAGCAGTGGTGGTTATCATGTGTTCAACACTTTGATGTTTCAGTGATCATTGATGACTTTGAGGAATGTGCAGAATCCTGAGCGCTGCATGGAGGCACTGTACCAGAAAGAAAGCAGTTTGCAGAGCTGCACACCTCTGACTCAGTGTGATCATTTGTACTTAGAGCATGGATCCTGACTATGAAGGTGTAAACTTAGACTGTTAACATGCTTTAGTGCACGAACAAAGAGCTGCAGCTGCACGTGACATCTAAGTTTTTAATTCAAATGCACTCACTGTGGATCATTTTTAACGTTGCCCTGCTGCTTTACAAACTCCAGTTCACCAAACACAAAAAACTTGAACAACAAGTTCAGTTGTCTCATGAGTTCGAAAATGTAAAATAAACTGATTTAAGTTTACTGTACATGTGAAAACATGTTCAATAAACGCAGGACATTGAGTTAAATCAACTGTTGAGTCATTCACATTTTCTTAGTCGTTCATAAGGAACTTGCAGCTGCTGCTGCTGCTGACGCCACAGTTAGTACGAAGAGAGCATGTGAGCTGCAGGGGTGGGCCATGTGGCCCTAAAATAATATCACCATATTTCAGGGTATTTTTGTGATAACGATATATTTGACAATATGACAAATTAGTAAAAAAATGTGTATTATTTATTTATTTAAATTTAAGAACGTAGAATTGCAACAAAATAGTTGATTTAGTTTTTTGTCACTGAACAGTTCGCCTTCAAATACTCAGCAAAAACTAAAATGATCTCTCATTTCTTTACTTTGTGAACAACAACAGTTGTTGAGTCTGTTACAATTTTAATAGTTCCACTAAATAAAATCACAAATTACACATTTCAGTTTTGCTTTTTGTTTATTTGCTTGGACCTGTGACGAGGTGGAATGCTAGTTTAAATAACAGGAGCACTGTTGTAAGGTTGTAATGTTGTTATACAGTATTGCAACATCAGCAACAGCCCCCATGTTGGGCAGAGTGGTCTTGCCTTTAAAACAGCATCAGAGGTAGTTATAGCGTTGAAACTGTCCGCATAAATGGGATAGCCAGTAGGATGGGATCATAAGTGGCACAGGTGTGACAATGCATTGTGTGTGTGACCCACTGTAGATTTAGAAAGTATCTGTTAGCAGTTAGCAGCTAACTCAAAGAAGAAGAACAGCAGCCGAAAATGTCTGCAAATTGAGAAAACAATGAGGTCCAGGAGCTCCTTACCCTCTAAGCACAAGACAAGATGCACCGCCATATCACAGAGACAGCAAATTATTGTTATTGCCAGGACTGGAGCAATATCGGCAACATGCGCCCTCATGTCCAGACCAAAAATATGTTCATTTCTACAGATGCACTTTGCAGCCTGTTAATACAACTGATATCAACCAGCTTCCTCAGTGAAGCCTCACAAGAATCAACCAGAACAAACTCAGACAGTTAAACAAAAATGACCAAAAAATAAACCCAACAGAGTGATGCACACAGCATTGGGTGCAAAAAACATAAACCGTATAATGTGGCACATAAAAAGCACAATAAACATCACCAAGGCAACAACAACAGAGACGTATCAATATCAGTGAGGGTGGGAATCACCAGAGGCCCCACAGTACAATATTATCACGATACGATACAATATTACTGCATTTTTAAACCTGTTGCGTTATGCTGTGTATTGCGATAAAACATATTGCAATACATTTTTTTTAAACTGTAAATTATATCCCTGGAGGAAAACTTTGTCAGCATCAACAATATAAAGTAGTTAGTCTGTACATCTCACTTGAGTCATCGTTACTGCAGCAGAAGTTTAATTTGTATTTGTCATATCAAAGATGTATATGATAAAAACAATGATACTTGATATCTGTGTGAAGATAAGATGATGCCACTCAAAAACATACTATGCGATACTATGCAGTATCGACCCCCCCCCCCCCATGATCTTCTATTATCTTTCATCTTATCAGATTATTATTACTGCAGCTGCAGCCACAGACACATGTTAAAGCAAACACAGAGCTGCACAGTGTTTACACACCCCATAATACAACACACCTGTGTGACGTCCTTATGCGACTCATGTGCACCTTGCAGCCCTCCACAGTCTGCTCCGAGTTCAACTGCTTCATTCCCAGTGCGATATATCGCCGGTGCACTCGGTCTCTCTGGTCCCAGTAAAACATTTAAGGAAACAACATGAAGGAAAAGGTCCAAACACAGAGGCATCCGCTGGAGACTCCACTGTGAGCTCATTAGCATGTTGGGTCGTTGCTATACGCAGCGTGCACGTGTAGTTCACGCGTCATCGTAGGTGCGTTTGATTTGGGTCACAGCATGCTCGCGCGGTGGTGCGTTGAAGGACCCACTGAGGCCTCAGCAAACACACAGACAGACAGACAGACAGACAGGTGGACAGACTCACCTGCACCTTCTTCTTTTTGTTTAGTTTTCATACAGGATTTGAAGTAAAGCACAATACTTGAGATAACGCAGCCTACTGAAGCACAAGTTCAAAAAACATAAAATAAAATGAGTATTAATTTGATTTAACTTAATTTAATAAAAGAATCTTGAAATCAGTTCAAGGTGACTGGCAACCGAAGGACAGAGGCCAGAATCGGGGGGATATGTGACTTGTGATTTGTCCCAGTTAAAATACGCGTCTCACGTCTTGTTAAAATAAAATCTACAGTAACTTCAGTTGTCAGATTCGTGTGGTGCAGTAAAAAAATTTGTGTCATGTGTCTGAGTACAGTAGTGGATGTGAGCGTGGCGATGCTTTAATGACCTGATGGAGTTACAGTGTATCATGTCACATTGACCAGCTGAGGTTATTCATAGAGCTGCAGCTCCTGATACAAGTGTCGTCCTCTGACATCTGATATTTTCAGGCTTTGCCCAGATGAGGAATCTGCAGCCGAAGGTCACGGGAGGAAACAAAGTGGCACACATATTGAAACAGATATTAATGTACTTCAATCTGCTGTTTTCCAGATAAGATATGTGACCAGATCAGTGATGCTGTGCTGGATGCTCACCTGATGCAGGACCCGGATGCTAAAGTGGCCTGTGGTGAGTGATAATGTGTTTCTCTCCAGCAGAGGGAAGCAGAGCATTTACAATATTTCCACAGCACAGGATTATAGTTAACAACAGATTTTTTACAAGCAGAAGAAAGTTTAACAAAGTGACATGAACGTATGTGAAATTATTTCTGCAGCTGACAGTTTAAGATCAGATAAAATAAGCCTTCATTTGGTTGCTGCAACAACACGAGGACAGTTCAGTTTAGGACTGGATGTTACAATCCCTTCATGCACATACTTGAGACTGTGAGTGGGAGTGATAGTGCCATCTGGGGGCTTTAAGAGTGGGAGTCAAAGGGTTAAAGTTAGATGGACAGAAAAGTAGGAAACAGCAAAGGTAGACAGAAAAGTAAGAAGGAGCATCAGGAAGGCAGAGCCAAGGAGAGACCTCTGTGTGGACTGAACTCCCCCCTGCCAGACCAGGTCGTTCACCCTCCCTCCCCCTTACTCCCTTATTACGATGAGGGAAGAGAGAAGAAACTAACCGGAGAAAAACTGACCTGACTTCAATCAGGGTGAAGTTTAACTGGTCGATTGTTGTTGCACCCACTTACGATTGCAAGTTAAAGTCAGAGCCATGCTGGGGCCTCCAGAGGGCTCACCTGCAACACTTTTACTCCCTTGAACCCTGCTGTTGTTCGTGGTATTTCAGGGCCCAAGTGGTGTCTTTCCTCTTGATCCATAGCCACCGGCTTGACTGTTCAGCTGCACCAGAGAGGGCTTTGATGGCCTGATGTTGGGCTTTGCCTCAAATTCCACAGCAGCCACAGGGAACAGGTGAACAGAAACCAGGAACGTGGAAGCAGAGCTCTTGGTTGGGGACAGAAGGCTGAGTGGTTCACCGGGGAACAGATGAAGCAGGAGAGTCAGGAGCAGGCGAGGTTGGCAATGATGTAGCACTCCAGGAACAAACGCTGGAAAGTCTTACATAAATGACAAAGAATAATCTGGCAAGGAGAGTCTTTCTAGTCACAGGAGGTAATGATCCACAGGTGGGAGCAGTTGGCTTGATGAGGTGGGTGTGGTGGACTGCAGGAGTGGGAGATGTGTGGACAGGTGATAGGCTGGCAGGTAGGGGAAGTGGAGAGGCAGGGAGAGTGGAAAATTACTGAATGAGCTGAGAAGATGGCAAGTATGGCAGGTAAACAGTGCCCACTGTGAATGCAAGAAAAAAATGCAGAATGTTTGTATATTTATTTACTTATTTTTGCCTTTTTAAAATACTGATAGCAAGCTTCATCAAAACTTTGAGCCCCCTAGGCATGAAAATAACACTACTTTAAATACTTATTCTTCTGATGTAAAACAGATAAAATTGGGTTTCTCGGTAAACTTCAGATCGCTTCAGTCTGACATAATTTAAAATTCATTATGAAGTCATCAGAGGGAATTTGTTTAAACTTTAAAGTTGCAGAGAAAATCAAAACTTGCACACTTTATGGCATGAAGACGAATACGCAGTTCAATGTCCTCTATGGGGGTGTGTTTACACAGAGACGGTGTGTAAGACCGGCATGGTGCTGCTCTGTGGTGAGATCACGTCTCGAGCCAACGTGGACTACCAGAAGGTGGTGAGAGACACAATCCGAGACATCGGATACGACAACTCAGACAAAGGCGAGTGGAGCCAGATGTTTAGTCTTAGCTGTCTGCACCTCTTCCTCCAACATGTAGTTTGAATTCATGGACGTGTCCCTGTCTCTGTGTGTCCAGGCTTTGACTATAAGACCTGTAACTTGTTGGTGGCCCTCGAGCAGCAGTCCCCTGACATCGCACAGGGAGTCCATATTGATCGACACGAGAGTGACATCGGAGCTGGAGACCAGGTCAGTAACACACAAATTCTGTTTTTATTTACTTGGACTGTCACATTTGGATTAAATTATGATGTTTTTCACAGAAATATACTGAACAAAAATATAAATGCAACACTTTTGTTTTTGCTCCCATTTTTCATGAGCTGAACTCAAAGATCTAAAACATTTTCTATACACACAAAAGACCATTTCTCACAAATATTGTTCACAAATCTGTCTAAATCTGTGTTAGTGAGCACTTCTCCTTTGCCGAGATAATCCATCCCACCTCACAGGTGTGGCATATCAAGATGCTGATTAGACAGCATGATTATTGCACAGGTGTGCCTTAGGCTGACTACAATAAAAGGCCACTCTAAAATGTTCAGTTTTATCACACAGCACAATGCCACAGATGTCGAAAGTTTTGAGGGAGCGTGCAATTGGCATGCTGACTGCAGGAATGTCCACCAGAGCTGTTGCCCATGAACTGAATATTCATTTCTCTACCATAAACCATCTCCAAAGGCATTTCAGACAATTTGGCAGTACATCCAACCGGGCTCACAACCGCAGACCACGTGTAACCGCACCAGCCCAGGACCTCCACATCCAGCATGTTCACCTCCAAGATCGGGATCGTGGATCGAGTGGCCCATGGTGGCGGTGGGGTTATGGTATGGGCAGGCGTATGTTATGGACAACGAACACAAGTGCATTTTATTGATGGCATTTTGAATGCACAGAGATACAGTGACGAGATCCTGAGGCCCATTGTTGTGCCATTCATCCACGACCATCACCTCATGTTGCAGCATGATAATGCACGGCCCCATGTTGCAAGGATCTGTGCACAAGTCCTGGAAGCTGAAAACATCCCAGTTCTTGCATGGCCAGCATTCTCACCGGACATGTCACCCATTGAGCATGTTTGGGATGCTCTGGATCGGCGTATACGACAGCGTGTTCCAGTTCCTGCCAATATCCAGCAACTTCACACAGCCATTGAAGAGGAGTGGACCAACATTCCACAGGCCACAAACAACAACCTGATCAACTCTATGCGAAGGAGATGTGTTGCACTGCGTGAGGCAAATGGTGGTCACACCAGACACTGACTGGTTTTCTGACCCCCCCAATAAAGCAAAACTGAACATTTCAGAGTGGCCTTTTATTGTAGTCAGCCTAAAGCACACCTGTGCAATATTCATGCTGTCTAATCAGCATCTTGATATGCCACACCTGCGAGGTGGGATGGATTATCTCGGCAAAGGAGAAGTGCTCACTAACACAGATTTAGACAGATTTGTGAACAATATTTGAGGGAAATGGTCTTTTGTGTATATAGAAAATGTTTTAGATCTTTGAGTTCAGCTCATTAAAAATGGGAGCAAAAACAAAAGTGTTGCGTTTATATTTTCGTTCAGTGTACTTGAAGAGACTGAAAACCAACTTTAAGATGTGTTACACACACAGAGTTGCTATGAATACGACAAAGACTTTGGTAACAACATTAGTTTCATCCTGTGAGGACAGGGTCTGATGTTTGGATACGCCACGGATGAGACAGAGGAGTTAATGCCCCTCACCGTTGTTCTCGCACACAAACTCAACGCCAAGATGGCCGAACTGAGACGTAATGGGACTGTCCCCTGGCTCCGCCCCGACTCCAAGACACAGGTGAGATCCAAATACACCACTGCAGTACAGACAGTGTTTTGTTTTTTGTTTTTTTTACTTTGCACTGTGTATACTTTGGACTTGCACCTTACTGATATTTTAGATTTGTACTTTTTCTACTTTGTACTGCAACTGCTGTACAACACTTTCACAATAAAGTGCTGTCTTATCTAAAAAGCTTTGTTCAGTGCTAATCCCAGAACTCCATCTTCTGAATGAACTCAAACACTGATACACTCCTTAAAAGTTAGACGTTCATCCAACTTAAAACCCAAATGTTTATTTTTATTATGGATCAAAATATATTCTGAGGTATCCTGGAAGTGAAGCTGGTAGTTTTCCCTGTGTGCAATTACTGATGAGATAGTTAGACCACCAGAATGTGCTGACCAACCAGAGCACGCTGGTATGCAACATCTGAGCTGGGAGACGTCTTTCCAATAACACCTCGACAGTTTCAGCCTGTGCACGCATCGGATCGTATGGGTGCTTTGGACTCACTGCACACGTGTCAAGACTTCAATTGCAAAAGCTCAAATATAAAAATGTTGTCTGTATTGTTGTTTTTTGGGTTGATGAAGTTGAAAATTTAAATCCCTTTAAATGCCTTAAAACTGGAATTATATCCAAATTTGAGCATGATGCAGTGTAATAGTAGAAATACCGAAGCCTCTCCACGCCCATCCATCCAGGTGACGGTTCACTACACCCAAGAGAACGGAGCTGTGATCCCCAAGAGGGTTCACACTGTGGTGATCTCAGCGCAGCATGATGACAATGTGAGCCTAGAGGAGCAGAAGAAGGTCCTGAAGGAGAAGGTCATCAAGGCTGTGGTCCCATCGAGGTACCTGGACGAGGACACTGTCTACCACCTGCAGCCCAGCGGACGCTTTGTCATTGGCGGACCACAGGTAAAAACCTCTTCAGGTTGTTTTTCTTTCATTCAATCTCATGTTCTTAAAATGTTCTCTGTAATGTGTTTCATGATGACTCTGATGATGAAGGCCACAATCCAAGACACATTGGTAAAACCGCCAAAGTTGTTTATACTTCAAGTGTTGCAAAAGTTTTGACAACCTATTTTTCTTCTTCGTGCCCTTTGAAAGTTGGTGAAGTTGCGCCAGATTTTAATTCTCTGCCACAATCTGACAGGTTAAAGGTTTTAAACTGTCAGGAATCAGTTCAGGAAGGACCCAGCTGCAGAGCAGGAGGCAGGTATAAGGTTTAACAAAAAACGAGTTTCAATGCTGATAAAAAAATCTTCGAAACAGGCAGGCAACAAAACACACAAAAAAGGAGAAGCAAAACTAAACTGAAACAAACCAGAGAAGCACGATGAACACAAGGAATAACTCAGGGAGAAAATCTAAAACAGAATATGAGAGACCGGGAAGAAATGACACCATGAACTTGGAGATGAACACAGACGAACTGACAAGTAACAGAAGGAAACACACATATGTATACACACAGAAAACTAATCAAAAGAACGAGACACAGCTGGAGCAGGAGGACTCGGACAAAGGGAGGGAAATGGAGATTGGCTTACAACAAGGGTGGAGCAAACAAGACTAATACAGCTCAGGTGTGAGGGGAGACTCTGGGAACAGGGAAGGACTAACGAGACTGATGAAGACAGGTGTGATTGAACGCAAGTGGGAAAGTAGACACATGAGGAGAGACTCTACAAAATAAAACAGGAAACACATTAAACATGAATAAATAAAACAAAGTCCTCAAGATAACAGAATATAAACAAAAACCAGGATCACGACAGAAACTCCTTGTATAACATGATGATTTATGGCTCAACATAATTAGGTTTAATTAGAAGATAAAGATAATTTTCAATGTAAAAAATCCTACAAAATACAGAAGAACAGTAAATTTTTCATTTAACATCCACAGTTTTTGTAGAAGCGATGTAAATGTAAGTGTTTGTATGTTTCTCTGTCAGGGCGATGCTGGAGTGACGGGCAGGAAGATCATCGTCGACACATACGGGGGCTGGGGGGCTCACGGCGGCGGGGCTTTCTCTGGGAAGGACTACACCAAGGTGGACCGCTCAGCTGCCTACGCCGCCCGCTGGGTGGCAAAGTCTCTGGTGAAGGCCAAACTGTGCAGGAGGGTGCTGGTGCAGGTGAGATCAACAAGTCCTTCTGAAATATATGAGACATTCGTAATGTTTGGTGTGGAGCTTCTTTTATTGGTTTTAAGTTTTTCTTTTTTCTTGAAGGAAAAAGGTTCGGGTCCTTTACCAAAGGCCTGGGAGTTTGAGGGTTCTGTGCAGTATCTTAGCTTCTCATGCCAGTGAGGTATACGATGACTGGTAGGGCGTATGGGCTGATGGCTCGGACCTTGTTCTCTCTGTGCAGCTGACTTGTCAGGACCTGCCTCACTCTGTAAAGGTTTTTGGCTATGACTTTCTTGCGGCCTCCTCATGGTTCCCATTTGCCTGCTGGACCCCAAGATATTTGTAGCTGTCCTGAACATCTGCAATTCTGCCCTCTGGTAGTTCAACCCCCTTGGTCCTGATCGTCTTCCCTCTCTTCAGCCCTTTTTAGACAGGAGTTGTGCAAATTTGCAGGAAAGCCCAATCAGTCTTTTTTCAGCATTGGCAGTATAAAAACAAAATCGGGGAGTGCAGCAAAATGCCGCCTACCTACTTTTGTTTATACAGAATGTGCCTTTTTCGGGGCAATGGGGGGCGTGAGCAAGTAACAAAACGTGTAGCTCAGCGTGTGACGTAAACACTGACGTGGGAGGGAAGCCGCGGCTGGTCAGTCCTTCGGCGATTCTCTCGTAAGTCGGCCCGTTCTTCACCGTCCCCGTCATCTGACGGTTAATGGCCTCTTCGTTTGCGAGGACAAGGAGGGCGCGCAATTCCTTGTCTCCCCAGTTGCTCATCTTTACAGTGTCTGTCAGGTTTGTGTTTCCCTCTTGCTACTAGCTGCTCGCCAATCCGGCTCTGTGTGTCTAAACGCTCACAGCTCGCCGGCAAAATGTCCCAACATTCGCCAAAAATCTGGCAGTGTAAAAGGGGCTTTTGACGCCATGCAACCACACTTATCCAGTCCAAATGACACTCTGAAGTCACTGCTGTAGACCTTAGTGAGGTGGATCAGTGAGTCAATGTCTCGCTCACCCCTAGCATAACAGCCTCATGTCATCTACGTAGAGCAGGTGACTGATGGTTGCACCACTTCAAAACTGATATCCGAAGCCACTCTTTGTGATGAGTTGGCTGAGGGGGTTCAGGCCTGTGCAGGTGTACAGGAGCAGGGAGAGTGCATCCCCTTGATTTATGCCGCACTTGATGGTAACTTGTGAGTTGGCCTACAGAGTCGTTTTCCACAGCCCCATTGACATTTCCAAGCATTCCAGTATCCATGTGTGTGGCATTGAGTCTTAGGCTTTCTTGTTGTCAATCCAGGCGGTGCACAGGGTGGTCTGCCTGGTCTTGCAGTCTTGGGTGAGTGCTCTATTGTCCAGTAGCTGGTGTTTGGCTACCTTGGTATTACTACCTTGCTCATGTATTGGGTCGCTATGATGCCTGACAGGAGCTCCCATGTTGTACAGAAGCAGGTTATTGGCCGGTAGTTGGATGGTACTGCGCCCTTCTGAGAATCCTTCATGATCAGGACTGTCTGTCACTCTGGCCAAAAGTATGTGGACACTCCTTTTGGTCCAGTCACTTTGACACAGAAAAGTTAAATCCATCCCCCAAATCCTGCACAAGGCCAAAAATACAGATCACAGTTTTAACTTAAACTCTCGTCTACAAGTCATCAAAGATCTACTGATTGATTGATTGATTGATTGATTGACTTGTTTTCTCTTTGTATTTCTAGGTGGCGTATGCGATCGGAGTGGCCCACCCACTCTCCATCTCCCTCTTCACCTTCGGCTCCTCTCACCTGAGCGAGAAGCAGCTGCTGCAGATCGTCAACAAAAACTTTGACCTCAGACCCGGCGTCATCGTCAGGTCGGCATTAAACTGATCACACTGCATCTGCTTTGTTATTAATATGTGCAACGTGATCGTTGTGGGAAATGTAAAAATAATCAGGGTTTAAGTATCTGAATGTATCTGTCTCATGCTGCAGTGACCTGGACCTGAAGAGACCCATCTACCAGAAGACGGCCTGCTATGGACACTTTGGCAGGAAGGAGTTCCCCTGGGAGGTCCCAAAGAACCTCAAATTCTAGATAGAGTGTCTGTGTGTGTGTGTGTGTGTGTGTGTGTGTGTGAGTGTGTGATGTATAGACAGCTGTCCTCGTGCTGCTGTAACCCAGTAAGAGGAAGGCAGCTGGGAGGGATGGATCGGGGTGGGAGCAGATAATCTCCAGTGATTGGACGAGAGGAAGGAGGTTCCTGTAATTTACGACCCCTCAATAGAAACATGAAATATGAGCGAGCCATGTGGTATTTTTGTCCCGTAGATTCAGTGTACAGTCACATGCAACCATTTTCTGTCCAGAAATAAGTGAATGACCAAATTTAAAGGGAGAGCAGTCACGCATGTGTTTAAATACGCTTTCATGTCTTTAAAAAGAAATCTCCTTCTTTGTTTGTTGATGTCAATTTTTTTATATGATTCAAACTGTGCGCTGCAGGTTTTAGTGTTACTGAAGCCTTCTTTACATCTTAAAGCTTTTACATACAGAAAGAAGTTTTTGTTTGTTTGTTTTTCAGCACGAATCAAACCTTCACCCTGAATCTACCGTTTCAGTCTGTGTTCAAGGTAAAATTGTTATTTATTAAGTTTCATATAAAAAGACCTGCAGACACTTGATCTCCACAAAACAAAGATGAGGTCACAGAAGATATACAGCAGGTATCCCAAAGTTTTAAATGTCCAGAGTAGTTTCTGTGCTGCATGCATCCTACAGTGGGATTTATACTTGTGAATCGGTGCAGTGCCTACGCTGTAGCCTGACCTGCACCTCCCCAGAAATGTAACTACACTTCGTGATGACGCAGACCTCCTGTCTATATGTGTAAGCTGAAACCATTTCCCTCAGTGGAAACAAAGCACAAGTCTATGGTGAAATTAGCTTAGCGGCTAGTGGACATTTCCTCTACTCATATGAAGCCAGGATAAATCACACACAAGACTGCTATTTTGGTGAAGGCTTTATTGTCTTCACAATAAATTCAGACAGTAGGTCTGCGTCACCGCAATGTGTAGCTACATGTCTTGGGAGGTGCACGTCAGGGTAAGGCGCAGGGCACAGTGTCAATTCGACACAGAAGTATAAATCCTGCTTAATCCCTATCAGTTAAAAATATTTGTAATAGCCTTCTATCACTTAATGTTTCTGTAAGTTATTAATAACTTACTCAGAATGGTGCTTTGTCTTTTTTCTTTATATTTTCTAGTAAGAGTATCAGAACCCCCCGGCCGCAACCCACACATTGTATTTCATTTTTTATTTGATAGGGACAATGCAATTTAACATAGTTCCAATGCAGAGTATCAGACTGATGTGTTTTCAACTCTACCAGCCTTGTTTAAAGTGGTCTGCCAACAAACACACTGCAAATACGACTTCCCGCCATTGGTGCTGCCAAAGAGAGTAAAGCAGAGATCCGACTGAGACAATCTGACGGGCGAGAAGAAACACAGTAGACGTTCCGAAAGAGTTGCAAATGTTAGAAACGTATGAAGTGGGAACTATAGAAAACGTTTTTTATATAGAGCAGGTGTTAGTGTTATGCTGGGTATTTTAAAGCCTTTAAAAGGATCTTAAAGGAAAACTTCACCCCTAAATGATCATTTGTTTATTAATTACTTACCCTGGTTTTCTTGCATGCCTCCACAGTGAACAAAGAATACAGAAACAGAAACATTTCTTACTGACTTGGAGTAAAGGAGACCGAGCAGGCATTGCACTCATCTGAGTATGTGGAAGTGTACTAACTTGTAAGGTTGTAGCAAAAATGCAAGTGTTCGGGAAGTACAGAGCATACTGTACATTTCAGATCTGGATTATACTGCAAGAGTTGTGTGGAAGTTGTGTAAAAAGATGTTTTCTGCTGTTGTTATATGTGGACCCTCAAGAATCAAGAATTTTTCAAGAGTTTTTGGATTTTTCGTTCACCAAGGAGGCAAGAAAAACAACGTTTCTTCACAAATTCAACTTAACACAGGTTAGTTAACATTCAGTAATACAGCTATAGTTTCAGAACTCTTGTTTCTGTTTTAGTCAGAAATTAATGCACAAACCTGCAGCCTTGACATAAGGTTATGGATTAAAGACCTGAGGACACTTGAAAAGTAAATATGAGATGTGATCTCAAAATACAGTGGATGAAGTTTCAAATGTCAGCAACCTTGGAAATGAGAAAATTACTGAAGTTAAAATATTAGATAGCTGCATGTTTTAGTGTCATGCTGGATGATTACATTCAGTTTAGGCTGAAAGTCTTATGTTTTTAGAGTTTTAGTAATAAATAAACAAACAAACCTGCATTCTTAACATGCTGTTATATTTTTGATTGAAATGAAATAGCTGTTTCTTAAGTTTTATATTATTTGACACGGAAATTAGCGTTAATTTCATCAAGACCTGCAAATATCTGCAAAGCAGAGATGAGATGTGATCTCAAAATATTGTAAAGTCAGAATCAGAGAAAAACCTTCAAATCTGTCACCTTGACAGGAACATTTTCTCATCTGAAATCACATTCTTTACACATACTGTGTCATTAGTCCTGGAAAAATATGTAAATATGTTTGAACAATAAAATATTTCAACAAGCGGTATTTAGTTTTTCTTCAAAGCTGCATGAATGACTGAAAATAAAGAAATTGTCTTTTTTCCATATTCGCTTTAATTCTTTTGTCATCTGTATACATTGTTGAACTTCATGTTCTTTAAAAGTATTTCTGCATATGATCAAATATCAAATATCAGCATGACGATACAAATAGTTTGGTCCCACTGAAACCGAGAGCAACAATACAACATTTTTTGGCGCAGAGCTGATACAATAAAATATACAACAGAGCTTATTTGAGGAAAGTATGAGACAGCTACTTGGGCGACGTTGGCGACGTAAAGAGTTGAACAAAATATTTCTGTAGATACGATAAAAAACTAAAAATAGTTCAACATAAGGGCATAAAAAAATAAACAACATTAAAGGTTCTGTATGAAACTTTAAGAACATCGAGCAACCATGTAGATTAGCTAAGTTACAGCTAGCTAGCAGCTAACATCAGCTCAGGTCACTGTTAACTTCTTGGCCCATACTGCATCACTCTTGGCTCGTAGAAAGCACTTGAATCAACAATCTTTAATTGTTGGTTAAATCAACACAGGTTGTCACTATACATAAGTTAGTGTAATGAATTACATTGGCTGGTGAAGTAATTTGGCAAACAAGCCAACTAAAAAGCCCACTCAGATTGTATTTTGCTGGTGATAATGTTAGTGAACAAGCAAGCTAAGGTAGCTAGCTAGCTGTAACTAAGCATTGGTTGCTTCATAACGTAATTTCTTTCTTATAATTTCACAAATGAGTCAAGAACTAGTTAGCACAGCTGGTGGACCATCAGCCTCACTACTACTGCACTACTTCTCTGGGCAAGAGCAGACTGCAGCTCAGACCTTAGCCACTGTGGCAACTTAAATTCAGTTAGCGCAAACCCCAACCTCGGGATTCACAAAAGGCTGGCAGCCAGCAGCAGCACTGGGTCTTACCCGTGTAATGGCAGCAACAGAAAGTTTGCTTATCCGGCAGGGAGTCGGGGCAGTTGAGAGGGCAGTGTGAGATCAGACCGCTGAAGCTGCAACAATAAGGTTTTGCCCTGTCTGAATTCAAGTTGCTACAGGGTGCTAAGTGAAGATCCATCTCCACCAGGCCGCTGCTGTGGGTGCACGTCATTTGTTGAAGTTAGCAGACTCCATTTCTTGGCTAACATTAGCTACTGTTGCACACTGTTAGCGCTGTAGTGAAGATGAAGAGAGGCAAGGCACTAGGGAATGTGCATCAGGTCCCGAGTCTTTTACCTTTTACCTAGAAGTCAGCTCACAGGCTGCAAGAGGCAACTGAGAAAGTTGGGGACAGTCTCATTTTTTAAGTAATGTCAGAACTTGTTCACCCACTGAAAATAAAAAACAGTTACAGACAGAACCTGTAAATGAATTATTCTTGGCACTGAGTAACCTTTAGTCCATCTATTGTCAAACTTTTTTGGAGAACTCCACCTTACTAGTGAGGTAAGGAGTGAAAGTTGATTATGTAACAAAACTTCCTGAGTTAAAAACAATACGGAGCTCGGTGTCTGAACATCTAAACATGCAAACAAACTGACGCCGCTGCATCTGAGGCCCTTTCAGGACGCTCAGTCTGATAAAAGGCAACCTCAGCCAAGAATGCAGAGAGTGATTGTTACATTAAGAGAGTTAAAACAAACAGTGAGGGCTGTGTGCGTGTGTGTGCACATGTGTGTCTCTTTCAGTGCTCAGAACGGCACTTATAGTATTGTGCAACGTTTTGCAGTCGTAGCCTGCACGCTTTAGCAAAGCAGGATAAAAGTCTGTAAAGTCTGTCAGTCTTTGGTCGCTGCTGAGCAGAAGAGCTTTGGCACCGTGGCTGTGTGCGATAGTGAGTGTGAGGATGTGCAGCCTCCAGCTTCTAGACCCCATGTTGGTGTCTTCCAGATCGTCCCTTTGACCTTCAGGGACGCTGAAGCTTGCTACAGTATGGTTACAGCATTGAAAAGTTCTCTGGCTGGTGGTGGTTGGAGCCGCCACCCACCTCTGTCTTGTGTCCAGAGGTGGAGAAGCTTTGCAGCCCTCCTCCTCCTCTGGACAGCACCATCAAGGTGTCCCCGGACATGCCCCCGAACTCAAAGGCAAAGGTCCCATAGAAGAGCATGATGAGCATACAGTAGACCCACTCAAAGATGGCGGAGGTGTGCTGCAGGGCGAAGCTTTCCTGGCAAAAGAAAACTCCACCTGGTGATCAGACGTTAAGGAGAACAATGGCTGCACAGCAGGAGGAAGACGAGGTCAGAAAATCTCTCTCATGAATCCAAAACATGCAGATCTGTGGTTTTTATGGGTGTGTTATTTGAGGACGTCTGTTTTCTTGTTTTTGATGTAGAAGATTATTCATGCAGTACGTGTTGTTATATAACAGTGTCCAATGTAAAACAGTCCAGAGGTTGGTTGTATTGATTCAAGAAAGGGATGTAGGAGAGTTTTTTCTCCAGCAGGGGGCCACGTAACACAGTTTACACAAACAACCTCTGAACAGACTGAAGGACAGGAGAGCATCACAGTCTGTGTGGACAGCCAAGAACATGGACGTGAACATAACACACTGTACCTCCATGACATTTATTAAACCAGATGTTACGTCCGGATTCCAAAAAGTTCCCTCAAGTCATTCAAGAGGAA